GGTATGCGAGATAATACTCTCCCAAGACGTTGCGACAATTGGTAGCTCAGGCCACGATTTATAGTATTGTGTTAGAAAGGAACAACAGGCTACACAATCACATCTCCTGTACTCCTCAAGCAATGTTCAAAATCATTGACCACCTAGTTCGAAACACAATACTAGGCAAACGGAAGTGCAAATCTTTTAGAGAGCTGATGCAAATATGGCTCTCTCGTGAGCAATCTCCAAATCTGCTAACTCGTAATTTTATAGTTAGGTTCACTTTGTTGTTTTTTTTTTTTTTGGCAAGAGGCTGTTTCCTACTTAGCTAAAAATCCTTTGTAAGCTTTTATAAACCATATCATTTTATAATGAAATTCAAATATTTGGCAAAAAAAAAACTCAGTATACCGATCTCCGTTGATCCGGTTTTGCTCATGTTGGCCGAACTCGGTCCATTATGTTTTTTTTGGCTGAGTTCAATTTACTTCGGCTTGATAAGAGTTGCCAAGTTCTATCGAATTCAGGTTCAGTCAAAGCGGTGAATAACCCCCGAAATAGTATATAATTTTTTGACATTTTGAAAATGTGATTCTCTCGAGTATGTACCCGAGATTTTTTTTTTTAAAAAGTGAAAATTAACAAGCTATTTTTTAATTTATTTTGCATGTTTTATATTTATACAATTAGTTCACACAAAAATTCATTTCATCTAACAAAGTGGTTTTTTTGGCGTTTTGAGGTTGTTCAGTTTTATCAGTTTTCTCGTCCTCTATTTTATTATTTTGCTATTCGAATATTCTACTATTCAGTTGATATACCAGTCAATCCTTATAAATCAATTCGTGATATAACATAAACCATAATATATATTTATATGTCCTAGTTATCTTTTTATTTTTTTAAAAAAGTTATATATTTTAGCAACATAGATGTTAGATAAGAATGTGTTAATCTAGTTGTGTATAAATTTCTAACGTAATACACTAAATAACAACATGGATAAAGAAAAAAAACCATTGGGAATTGGCAGTGGTTAAAAAAAGAAAGAAAAAAAACCATTACAGTTGATCAAAGCGAAGTCGCTAGCCTACGCAAGAAAACGTATGAACTGGGAACCTTAAGCAAAATACTAGCCCACTCAATCATTCCCCAAACTTCATCACCGTTACGTTTTCCAATCGTAATCACAGCACACCAAATATATTTGTATTGACGTCCCATAAGATTAAGAGTTTCCCATTGTACCTGGCCATCTCAATCACACTACGACGACAATGTTTATTCAACGTAGCCAAACCTCGGACCACTCTCCATTCCTTAGGCTTTACGTCATACCACAAGAAGTTTTGTATACCACAACGGTACCATACTTTGTTGAACAATTCTTGGGTTGAACATCTTTATTCACCTTCTTGTTTTCTAACCAATCAAAACATGCCATCTAATTTAAAATAAAAATCAATATTATTTTAATCAAACAATTAAGGTAAGTTAAACAATAAATGTAAGTTGACATTTTTATCATAGAAATTTAAAAATTTATTATTATTCAAATAAAAATTTGATTTAGTCATTATAATATTTTTTTTTACTTACTTCCTCTTATTTTAACCAATGAAAATAAGCCAAATAATTAAATTTATTAACATAATTGATCAAAATAACACATTTTAAAATTTCTTTTCTAATGGGGGAAAACTAAGCCCTAAATTAGAAATAGTGAACCCAAGCATAATATTAAATTTTATTTATAATTTATTTTTGATAAACATATATTTTTTTACATAATATATGTTTATCAAAAATAAATTATAAATAAAATTTAATATTATGATTGGGTTCACTATTTCTAATTCAAGGTTTAGTTTTCCCTCATTAGAAAATAAATTAGAAAATATGTTATTTTGATAAACATTTGGCTTATTTTCATTGGTTAAAATAAGAGAAAGTAACTAAAAAAATTATTTTAATGATTCAATCGAATTTTTATTTGAATAATATTAAATTTTTAATTTTCTGTGATAAAAATATCAACTTACCTTAATTGTTTGATTAAAATAATATTTTGATTGGTTACTAAACAAGGAGGTGAATAAAGATGTTCACCCCTAGACGTGAACTCAAGAATTGTTCTACTTTGTTTACCAAAACCTTCACGTGCGGTTTCTTCACATCACCCCATTTACTCGTTCTTGGATCATAAACATAATCTTTCTTCTCGTGGGTTCTAACGTAAAGCTTTCTATGGAGCACCTCTAATGTTTTAATCGAAGAGTTTCGAATCTCGGCTCCAGGGTCAGGTAGACATTTTGAGTCTTGGGGTCGTAAACCTCAGCCCAATTTTTGGATTCATCTGCATTGCAACCTCCCATTACGTATATTTTACCATCTACTATGCCTGCAACTGCTCTCTCTCGAGCTACAGTCATGTTTGGACCTTTACGCCACAAGAAAATCTCCCTATTATCCCTTATTGCGGATCAACAAGACAGAGGACGGAGCGCTGTTTTGCAAGAGTCCATAGCATTCTAAACCAATCCTGACGAAGAATATTGGCACGTTATTACAATAGGAACAAGGTACTGGTACCAACAGAGTATTTCCCTTAGACTTCTTATTCTTTTTCTTCTTCCTGATGTCGTTGGTTAGGGTTTGATCAGGTTTTATCCAGAGGCTGAACCAGGAGGGAAGAGGATGATGAGTAGGAAACTGTAAGCACACATGAAGGACGGTTTCTTTGGTTTTGTGTTGAGATCGCGCCACAAAGAGTTTATGGGATAAGTGTTGAGAGATGATCCTTTGAGTGTTCCTGCAAAAGGAAAAGACGAAAAGCAGCATAAGGTGATGATGATGAAGAACTAAAGAGAAGAAAGGAAGAAGAGAAGAAGTGTCGTGAGAAGAAAGAAGAAGATGAAGTGGTCAACAAAGTCAACAAGAAGAGAAGATGGGCCATATAAGTGGAGTTGCTTTAAGGAATTAAATGGCCTGCGTTTTCTGTCTAAGGCCCAAGCTTTAAGTAAGTCTAGTTAGAAATAACTAAGTCCTAAGAGCATGTTCAACCCTGAACCTCATACAGGGGTTCTAAGCGATTTTTTAGTAATTTTTTTGTAAAAGTTTAAAAGGTAAGAATTTCTCTTTTTTCAATGGTTCCAACCTTGAATCTGTAATGAGGTTCATGGAAATAAAATAATATTATTTTTTTATTAGAAATTATAACAAATTTAAATTTATAACATATATATATATATAATTACAAACCAAATTATTATTCATGACAAGAACATTTTAAAATACAAAATACAAATATTGAATACAGAAAGCGTTTTAGTCGTAATCCTCGGAGTTCCCAAATTTGTTCCAAATATGTTCTACCAGATCGTCTTTCAAACGTTGATGTATTTCCTTATCACGAACTTTTTTCCGGTTCCCGATCAAGTTTAAAATATTTGTAGGCATATATGTTGAATATGTCCTATCCACATGTGAAGTCCTGCTAGCGTCGACTTGTTCAAAATCTGCAAGATTGAACTGGGCATAGGTTCCTCGTTCGTTTTCCACTATCATATTGTGCAATATGATGCATGCCCGCATAATCTTTCCGATTTTTTCTTTATCCCAAACAAGCGCTGGATTTCTGACGATCGCAAAGCGCGCTTGGAGGACTCCAAAAGCACGTTCAACATCTTTACGGACAGATTCTTGACGTTTAGCAAAACACCTTGATTTTTCATCTTGTGGAAGCGGAATGGATTTGACAAAAGTTGCCCATCTGGGATAAATTCCATCCGTGAGGTAGTACGCCAAATGATATTGGTGACCGTTGACCATGTAATTCACCTCAGGAGCTTTCCCTTGTAAAACATCATCAAATACGGGAGACCGATCAAGAACATTAAGGTCGTTTAGAGTACCTGGAGGTCCAAAGAAAGCGTGCCAAATCCATAGATCTTCAGATGCTACTGCTTCTAAACCCAAGAAATTGCCGTACTAGCTCCAAGGCGAAGGTATTCATCAACAGCGTCTGCCGCACAACCGTAGGCCATGATTCGAATTGCAGCCGTGCACTTTTGTAGTCCGGAGAGACTGAATCTTCCCACAGCATCTCTTGTTTGTTTAAAAAACGGGATTTCGGTGGAAAGACGTTCAACAATGTACATGAACAACGGCTTGGCCATCCTAAACCGACGTCGAAATGTATGAGCCGGATATGTGGCATCGTCACGAAAATAGTCATTCCACAACCGGTTGTGCCCTTCTTCCCGTTCTCTTTCAATATAGGCCCGCTTCTTCTTGGGTTTTCTTGTTGCTTGCTGCTCCATAACACGGTAAAACGTTTCATCAAATTGCTGATCAAAAAAATCATCATAATGATCATCAAAACGTTGGTCAAGATATCCCTCAAATGGATCATTTGATGAAGATGCCATAGTGTATTTGGCTTTTTTTTTAACTGTCGCTTGTTGAAGAAAAGAGAAAAGAATAGAAGAGATGAGTTGTGTCTGAATAAAACTTGAAAATTTGGGTGGAAGATAAGAAACAAGTAGAAGAGAGTTTGTGTTTGAAGAGCACCAATACTTGTAATGAGCGTATAAATAAGAGAAGAGGTGAACATTTTGTGTCTTACGCGTTACAGAAATTACAAGTTACAAAAATACAAGTTACACAAGATACAAAAACAAAAAGAAGCTCTTTCAAGATTCCATGACTCTGCAAAACACCAAAAGTTGGAGCTTCTACTCCACAAGTTTAAATCCCGTGAACTACACCAAAGATTTGATGCCTCTCCACTACACCAAAGATTCGATGCCTCTCCATAAATATCTGCAAAGTACAAAGCCATAGAATAACAACAAATACAAGAAAAATTAAATCTACTACAACAAAGTACATACTCAAACAGAAACTTCATTACGACATAGAACAAGAAAAAATACGAAGTACATGAACACCTAATTCAGCAACATAGCACAAAGACAAACAATAACAAGTACACAGTTTGAAAACAATAACAAGTTCTACAACATCTCGCTAATGAGTATGTCTTTCAGAGCCAATTCTTTGTCAGTCAGTGGTTCAGTTTTTACGAGAAGGCCTTCAAGCAATCTCCTCTTCGAAATTTTGTCTTTCATGTCTAAGTCCATTCTCTTCATATCCCACATTGATTTCATGTCTACCACAGGGTTTCCCTCTGCTTTACGAGCCGCTGAACCATTTCCCTTCACTTTGGCTTTGCCCGCCTTGGCAGCCTTAATCCCTGGTGGACGTGTCTGGGGTACATCATCGGGGATGTTGTCTGGTTGGCAACTTGGAGATTGTGGAGAACTGTCGTCCACTTTTCTACGTTTTGCCTTTCCACCGTCATTACCAGCCAGGTTTGAGCACCATTTCTGATCGTGTCTCAGCTCTCTCCAGGCGTGTTCAAGAGTAAACTTGGCACCGTAGTCGTTGAAGAAAATTTCGTGAGCCGCCTTCATCAGGTCGTTTTCGCCCATCCCCGAACTTTGCTCCTTCATTGCTGCTTCAAAGCACCCGACAAATTTACAGACTTCGTTATTCAACCTTCCCCATCGCTGCTTAACTTGAGTTGACTCTCTTGCATTCGCACCAACCAGTTGGAGAGTCGAGTTGAAATATTTCTGGATTCTTTTCCAGAAAGGTCCGGCCTTCTGATCATTTCCCACCACCGGATCCTTGCTTGTATTTAACCAAGCGCTGATGAGGACTTTATCTTCGGTCGGTGTCCACTGCCTTCGCACCACTTTACGATCTTCGCCAGGTCCGCTTTGTTCTTCAAGTGTGAACTGGCTAAACCTAGGTTCGGCTGATCCAAGCTCGATGGTTGTTGGGAAAGTGTATTGGTTTTCTTGTTGACTGGTTAGTAGGTTAACAAAACCAGTCAAGGCAGGGTTTGTGGAATCCATCTTCGTGTAAAGGATTAAAAAGAGAAAAGGGTATTCAAGGAAGAAGTTTAGAAAGAAGAACTTAAAAACGTTAACAAAGAAGGGTTTAGAAGGAAGAACTTGGAAGAACGTTTTAAGTTAGGTTTATTCAAGTTTTGTTTTCTGTTATGTGTTTTAGGTTTGTTTTGTGTTTTTTATAGAGGAAAATCTTATTAACTTTAACTATCATTACCTCGCTAACCTACTCTAACCAGCAAACTGTCACGGCAATAATAACAGACACTTAACTGCTCACCAAACAAACATTTATGGTAATGACAAGACCTAAACCCTTAAAACTTATTAACAAGTCATACACATAACTACAGATTGAAGACTAACCTTAAATACGAAGCAGATGTGAACCAACTTCTGGTAGTTACTCTCATTACACTACAATTTACTCCAATTCACCTCAAAGCAATTAAAAAAAATGAATAGCATTAATACAAGTACAGTCAATATAATCTGCAAAAGGGAAATGAAACTAGAAACAGATGCCCAAGAACCAAACCGCAGATGCAACACGAAACCAATAACAATATGGAACCAATACTAACCATAACATTGCCTCATTACCAAAAGTTAAACAACAGTTCTTCGAGACTACATAGCATAGCTTACAAGACTTTTTAATACAACAGAGTTAACTAAAACTTAGAGAGTAGCTGGGTTTAGAAAAAACCTACTTAAAGACAAAGGAAATGGCTGCAAATACTAGCTTATATATTCTCTAAGGAAAGCATGTTCTTGTTACATAACAGATGAAAGCATGTTCTTGTTACATAAGCCAACCTAATGTAAAAGAAATCAATGACTACAAGCTAAATCAAATGAGCATCGGTTAACACATGAAATCACTCGGTAAATCCCAAATCCATGTTCAAATAATCATTTAACAGATGATACAGCTTGCTAAATCCACTAATCAAACTAAAACCATTCGCTAAATTCATAAATCCGACAACCCAGATGTTAGATAATTTTTTGAAATTGCTTCACATCTTAACCATGAAATCGTTTAACATATCAAATCAAAAATACAGGTTTGCAGGTTCTAATTACCCTAAACGATCTCCGAAGTCCGATTTTAGTGGAACTGAAATTTATCCCCAATTTTCGAAACCCTAATTTCTCGAAATCAAGTTATATTCGACTCGAATACTTACCTTAAACAAATCTTTGGCATTGCAAGAGACTTTAAACACCTGAATCCTCTCCGATTTCGAAGCAGAACTCTCCGATTTGGTTAAAAAACGTCGGCGAAATCACTCGGCGAAGTTTTGCGGAAGAGACGAAGAGAAAAAGAGTTTTCCGAAGAAGTGTCGATTTGTCTCGACGAAACAAAGACCCCAAAAGGTTTTCCCAAAAAAAAAATTGCTCAAACCAATTAGCCAGCGCCACGTCATTCTTGAACTCCATCAATAACAGGTTCTGCAAACTCTAATATTAGGATCGGTTCAAGCAAAAAATGGGCTAAACTGATTAAAATAAGCCCAAATATTGTTTTGAACCCCTGCTATAAACTTCTTCCATCCCTGCGTTGGACATGGTCTAAGAGTCAAGTTGAGTCTAAGCTATTATGGTTAGAGTTGTTGTAACAACTAAGTAGTAGTCAGAGTTTAAGTAAGTAGAGTGGCTGTGTAAGAGTGTCTAAGTTTAGAGTAATGATGCAAGTATGGGAAAAAGGAATAGGAGGTAGAGTAGAACTCATATATATGAGCGATGATGAATGTAAGCAAAAGAAGAAGAAGAATGTATGAAAAACAAGTTAAGAAATGAGAATGAGTGTTTTGAGTGTTTAAAAAAACAAGTTGTCAAAAGAAAGAAACCAAACCTGTGAGACCAAAAGAGAGAATCTCAACATGGTATCAGAGCTATAGTTGTCCCAGGAACCTGTCAAAGAAAACCAAAAGAAGAAGTCAAAAGAAGAAAAGAAAGAAGCACTAAGGAATGGCGATCATCCTGAAATCCTCTCAGTCAGTTGCTGTGTTCGACGGACAGAATTATGAATTCTGGGCAGCAAGAATGCGGACCACCCTGATGCACAAGGAGCTGTGGGAGATCGTCAAAGAAGGATTCCCAGACTCCTCACCGAAATCACCTGAAACTCCAGGAGCAGACAAGTCAAAAGAATCAACAAACTTGAAGACCCTCAAAACCAAAGACACCACTGCACTTCAAATCATTCAGCATGCTGTAGCTGACACTATCTTCGACAAAATCCTGTCAGCTACAACACCAAACCCGAATATCAGAATCAGAATTATCGAAACGGATTTAACGAGCCCGAAAATGAAACCTATAAAAATACCCGATGGATCCTAAACTTTTATATTTGAATAGCTAGTACCAAACTGGTACTATAACGGAAACCAATCGAAGTACCCAAAGATCTGAGATATAATTATACTAGGTGCGGGTAGAAAGGTTTAAAAACGTAAATCAAAACTTTATGTTATAATCTGAAACTAATCACTTGAGACATCTGGGATCAAAATAAAACTAATCCACCATCCAAAATGCAATTCTAAATAAGTGTATAAACCCACAAACGAAATGTACTAAGACAAACATGAGTTTTTCTTCTTTAACGTAGTTTATGTATTCTTCTTCATCATCGTTTTTTTCTTCTTCTTCTTCCAGTTTTTTTTTTTTTTTGAATCTAATGTTAAATTATATTCAAAAGAAAAAACCAACTGTTTTACAAACTTTGGGAAATAAACTTAGCAAATTTGACTCTGAAAAATGGTTATCTTGTGGAGAACCACATCTGCAGACCCTCCTCAAATCTCATGTCTCCACTCTGCCTGATGGAGCAAAGTTAGTTCCTTACTGTTTTTTCAAGAACTCTGATCAGCCAATATTCAAATGAAGGGGCTTCTCCATGCTTACTGTCGTTCCTTTCTCTCCATATTGAGTGGATCACGGCCTGAAAATACATACCTCAGCAAGTAAGTGATTGTTCTGTTTCATGGCAGGTTGGTAAGAAGATCAGTGATGGTGCTCCATTCATCCGTGCACCGGTCTCTGAGCAGGCCCTCAGTCAGCGTTTTCCATATAGCTTTTGCAAAGCTACACGTGAAAAAAGATGGTCCCTTGTTTCCAAAGGATGATTACAGATGATGCATTTTGTATCGGCGTTACTGTTTCAAGCTCTGATCCTCTCATCTGTGGCCAGTCTGTTTTTGAAAGCTAACCAAGTGATGAATGAGTATTTAGGAGTTGTTTGGGAACCAGACTCCTTTATACCAATTCACTCGAGGTTTAGCTTGCCTGATTTGGTTCCAAGTATCTCTTGACACAAACTTGTTCCTGAAGGCACCGTTTCTTCCTTTCCATTTGGGAATGTCTGTAGCATTGCGATCCATTGTCTGAGAGACTGTTTGCAAGTGAGCTTCAATGTCTTTGTATACAGATTGCCTGTGTCTCCTTCGCCTTGGTTTATCTAGAGCTTCCTGCACTGTAGCCTGCTGCGGAATACCCAGCTCTATAAACCCTCTTTCACCCGTTAGATCGATCAAGCAGCCCAATTCACACCATGGATCATACCAGAAAGAAATAGCAGTTCCACTTCTGACCTCAACTGCATAGAAGTTTCTTGCCAGCTCCTTGTACTTTAGAAGCTTTTTCCACATCCAAGATCCCAAGGAGCTAGTAGTTTTAACCGCCCAGAAAGAACCATTCCTGATTAGGAATCTCTTCACCCAATTAACCCATAAAGAAGCATCTGTTGACTGAATCCTCCAAATCAACTTTAAACAGCAAACTTTATTGGCCTCCTCAATTGATCTGAGTCCCAAGCCGCCCTCTACCTTAGGGGAGCAAACATCCTTCCATGCCACTTTTGCTTTCTTCGTATTCAGAGTTGGGCCAGATCACAAAAAAACAGAACAGAGGCTGTCTATTTCATGTATACACGCTTTAGGCAATCGAAATGCTGCAATCCAGAAGTTGATTACACTAAAGATCACTGATCCAATGAGCTGCAATCTGCCAGCGAATAAGAGAGCCCGTGATGTCCATGTATTGATGCGGTTTTCTAATGTTCTCGACCAGCAGCAGATAATCAGCTGCAGACATGTTTTTTGTTATCAGCGGGAGACCAAGATATCTCACTGGTAACTCTACGTGATCAAATGGGAATTGGTTTAGAATCTCCGCCTGAGTTGCCTCTGGAATTCCAGCCATGTAAAGAATAGATTTTTCTAAGCTTATGTGCAGACCTGATCTTATAGCAAACTCTTCAAATATATTAAGGGCATTCTCTATTGACCTTTTCTCCCCAGCAGTGAATACCAATAAGTCGTCAGCAAAGCAGAGGTGTGTGAGAGATAACTTCTTGTAGTTTGGATGATAGCTAATCAACTTATCCACAGCCGCTTGATCAATTCGTTTTGAAAGGACATTCATACACACACCCTTGCCTGAGCCCCCTTTCACTACCAAAATAACCTGCCAATTCCCCATTTATTTGGACAGAGAAAGAAGCAGTAGTGACACACAGTTGTATCCAGTGGATGAACTCCTCAGGGAAATCGAGAGCCCTCATAGTATTCAGCAAAAAAGGCCATTGAACAGAATCAAAAGCTTTGGAATTGTGACTGAAGATTCTTATGCACATGGAATTCAACAGGTAAACATCATCTGAATTGAGTCATAAATATTGCATCCATGACGTCAATTGTTTTGTTTTCCCAGTCTTCAATCCTCACCTTGTAACCATTGGTTACAATTTCGACAAGGTTATCAAGATCTTGATCGGGATTGTCCTCCAAAAACACTGTGTCTTCAGGGTCACCTTGTATAGATGGTAAGACACAGACAACCTTAAGCTGCACAGCACAAGTCAAAAAAAGTTCTCAATTAAGTAAGAACATCCAAAACAATGCAAAACAAAACACTTTGAAAATCAAGGATTTGAAAACTTACATCGCAATAACCCTCTATGGTGAAAATCTGATTAGATACATGAACCATCAGCCTAAGATATTTTTCACATAAGAAAGATGTTGGCGCTTCAGCAGTGTTTAGTGAACTGAATGAACTCTGAAGTTTCGGAACTGACTCCAACATCCACAGATGCAAGGATAATGGGAAACCGTGAATATCATATTTGGGTTTCCCAGGCCGTGTTGGAACAATCTTCTTAACCGAGTTTAGCAGTATCATGTAGGAGTCTCTCTCCTATGGATAACTCATCGGCGTCTCCAAATTCTGTGCAATCTTGAGGAGCTTCTTTGGAAAACGATATCCAATATATCTCGGAATTACTAAAGACTCGATGAGTATCAATATTGCCAGACAGAATCTCTCATCCTTGTTCTCCTCTGTAGCTTCAGTGTGGATTAACGAATATAAGAGGTCCGAAGGTCTATGACCATTTTCAACATCACCCCAATCATATTTTAACTCTTCCTCCTCTTCTTCGTTCTCTTCTTCATTCTCTTCTTCGTTATCTTCTTCATTCTCTTCCAACTCATAACACTTCAGCCCCGTAACCATATGAAATTCTCTAATAGAGAATCTCATAGGTTGTGCTTCGAAGTGGAACAACATCTCCTTCTCTTTCACGGTTCTGACAGATCGAGTAAGCAACAAATGCACAATTTTTCCTGACATCATCATAGAATCCCTTAAAGTGAGCTTCAAGATCGGTCCCAGGAATGTATTCCTAACTCTCTGAAACTCTTCAATGGTGAGCTCATTTTTAACTTTCTCGATCATCTTGAAAGATGCAAACTGGTTTACTATCGGGTCTGGCTCTTGATTTGGCTCTTTTCCTATCTTGAAATGAAGCTTAGGGCAGTGTAATAAGTGGATAAGGTGGAAATGAATCCATTTGAACCCTTCCTGAAATTCTAAAAACACAAACTCAGATCTCAGACAAACATAAACTCAATACTTTTTGAAATTTAGAAAACACAAATACAATTAAGGAAGAGATTACTAAATTTTTCCATACGAACTGATACAACCCTAATCTAACCTAAAAAATTATCAATAACATGATCAAAACATAATCTCAGAGTCACGGTTTTAAGAATGTCTTCCTAAATCACCTAGAAATTTCCAAAAACCCACAAATCAGATGGAACTAATACAAATCGGAGAAAGAGCTTTATTGAGAAACTAAACAAAAACATACAAAACGGGCATGATTTGGGAAATAACACAATTTTGGAAACGATTCGGGAATTTATTCGTAATTAGGGTTTTTTGAAATGTTAAATCGATAAGAGAATTACACTGAATCGATGTGAAATTATTGTTCTTCCTCTTTCTGATGTTCACTAAACACCACCGATGAAGCGATTTAAGCCTCCGATGAAGCGAAATCTCCAAATCGAAAACCAAAACCCTAAATCGATGTGAAATTATGGTTCTTCCTCTTTCGCTCTCAGATCGGTTTGTGTCGTGTTACAATGAGGTTCCTCTCCCGACGAAGATTTCTTCAAATTCTGACGACGATGATGACGATTACGGCGGTGGATGTTTCAACGGAGAAGTTTTCTAAGGATTCGTGTTTTCTCGTGGAAGAAGGAAATGAAGCGTCTTTTCAGTTTAATGAAGGCTAAGTTGGTCCAAACCCAGATTGAGAGTTATTCCATAGAAAAGAAAATTTTATTGGGCCATTTAGGAGAATCGCCCAATTCAAAATTAGTAATTTTAGCTATCCAAAATATTTTTAACCCGGTTTTTCATATATGTTTTCAGTTTTATATTTTATTAAAATTATATTTTTAATATTTAAATTATAGATTTGATTCTTACCTCTTGTTTTATTATTGATTTACAAATAAATCATAATCGAAATATTTTATATAATCAACATAACTATCATATCATTTACATCATTATAAATATTTTATATTTCAAATATGACCATTATTTTTTATATGTGAATTAGTTTTTTTTTTAAATTATTGGTATTTCTGATAAACTATTTTAATAGTATAGAGATTATGTAAATTAGAATATTTAAATCAAATCTAAATTAATACTTGTTTATTATTTTAAATCAAATAAAATCTAAATTACCTATATTTAAGAAAATCTAAAAATATTTAAATTAATATCTAATTTTTGAAATTAAATATAAAATATTATAAAACTGTTTCTAAACACTTTAAAACAAAATTTAAGAGTGTTTGGAAGCAAGTATTAAAAGTGCTTCTATTTTAATATAATAGATAGGAAGGAAACCCAAAATATACCACCTGTTGTTTAAAAATTATCTTTTTAAGATGACAAAATAGACATTTTCAACCGGATTTGCTCTTGCTAGTCCATTCCTGCAACTTTTTTGAGAAATGTTCTTCATATATCTTAATAATAAGATGCAGATTCTTTTCTACTATCTCTATGTAATCTTGTCCTTTAGTGACTTTTTCCATATTTCGATGAGTCGTTCCCCAGTCTTCAAAGCAATGCTTGAGAATGATATGGAAGAGGTCACTAAATGCCATTTGCTCATCCCGACATACTTTACCTGTGTAGAGATACTCCACGAAAGTTTGAAGGGTCTCATAAGATACTTTGCTGATCTTGATTGTGCTACTACGACTTTCTTCTATATTATTCTCAAACATTGCTCTGAAGACAGGTGAATGACTCATCTAGAAAAAATAGTCATGTTTTTGTTAGAACCCTAGTAAAGATTATAGATTGGGAGAAAGTTCACTACATTAAAGAGATTATTGAGTTGAAGAAAGTTCACTCTGGAATACTTTCACAGTACTCATTATCTATGATAAATATTAATGTGATAGAACTGAGATATTTAAATCCTAAAAAGGAATACACAGGGAAAAACTACAGTTTCTCATCATGTTTTGTTGCAAAGATGTAAATTGGGTTCTAACAAAAAGGGGTAAAAACCAATGAAAAAGATACACCTGAAGTGAAAAAACATTAAAGTGATCGAGAAGATACTAAATGAAAATATAATTCGACATTTTTTTTTCGTTATCATTCGACATATTAACACAGCTCATCAACTTTTTCATTAGAAAAAAAAAAACACAAAATGAAATTGAACTAAAGCAGATCTTATAATACTAGGAAAAGTGTAGTAACTGAACTAGTACCAAATGACTGCAACTTCTATTTCATTCTAACTTCAAATAAGTAAGAATGGACAGAGGTTTTTTCTTGAAAATTTGAGTATTGTTAATGAAAATCTCTTTATTTACATTGAATGACCAACTATCAACCACAGACGCACATATTAAATATTTGAAAGAAACATAACAATCAAAGTTAAATAACTCATCACATAAACTAATGGTCCAAAAAGTAGAGAGCAAACCAGAATAGATTTATAAGCGGGAATAGGAGCGGCAGAAGCCAGTGCATCAGAGGCGAAGAGAACAACATCTGTGAAAAACTTGGAGTTGCTGACGTGATTAAGAGAAGAAGATAAGCGAAGGAAATCAACTTTGGCCTTTTGAGCGTTGACCTGCTTCAAGAGCTTTTCTTTAGCCTTGGGGACACCATCACAGCACTCTTTGCTGCGGCAGGAATTATGAGGAATATACATTTCCCGACAAGAGATGCAATACATCTCCATGTCATTGTCAGAATTGTTGGAATCACAGTCTGAGTCGTTGTGGCTAGAATGGTGTCTCTCCATCGTACACAAAAGTTCAGTAAATCGAACAACTTAAGAAACACAGAATCGCTCCATCGTTTTATAATTGAACTGATCGAAAGTTATATTTGGTTATTTGTTGAAAAAATAAATAAATATATACATATGTCAAGGTTTTTTTTCCCAAATAATATTGATTTGATACTATAACCAAATAATATTGATTTGATACTATAATAGTCAAATCCATTGAATCTACCATAATATATGAGTATATGACACATTCTCCTTATAAATACAGCCAAATTTCTATAATTTAACTTTTACAGGTTATGACATCAAGACAGTCTAAATGAATCCAGGCAATTTAGTATATTTTTGTGAGTAAATCATCCCAAAAGGCACAAATTGAGTATATGGAAAATTCATCATACATATAATAATCGCGAGGATAAAATTTGCGGTTGTTTGTGAGATATAGGAAGAAAAAGTTGTTCAATAAAAGGAAAAAAAGAAAAAGAATAGAAATTAGATATTTCACATGGTATGAAATTATTAACCATATAATTTTATTTTATTTTATCTTTACTCTACAAACTCAGTCTATGTTTTATTATTATCCCATGAGCAGCTTTCTCTTTTAATCTTCTTCTTTATTTTCTATTCAACTTTTATTTTAATAAAAAGCAAATTTGAGATTGGGTTCTGTCTTTCAATTTCTTACTTATAATATAAAATGAAATATGAATTTTATTTTCTTTATTTTTAATTCTTTCATAAAGAAAAAAAATGGTTTGAATATTTCCTAAAGATAAGTATAATGCAAAATAATACACTCAGCTTTTGTGTGTGATTTTTATGTTGCCATTTAGATGTCTTCAACAAATATGTATGTATTTTACTTAGTGGGTTTTATGCGATAACCAAGACCACTAAATCCGGTTATATAATATATTTACTATTTATTTTACTGAAAATATAAGTTTCTTCACAAGATGTTTGAAGAGTGATCCAGACTTCTTACCGCTTTGTTTCGACTTCAAGATTTAAGATGTTTTTTATGATGCAAAGAATGTTCCATCGAAAACTTGATGAGATATGATGTATCGGACTCTAACTTATGAGAAGGAACCATAATTTAATTTTGAAAAACTGATTGTCCAATCTCATTCGTGTTATCATGTATGAACTTGCTAGAAGTGTTGGGAAATGACAAGTTATTCTTGATATATCTTCTTTTCTAATATTTTATGAATTCTTAAAATGTATTTACTTATCATACAAATAGAATTAGGTTAATATTAAAATATAAATATGAGTTACTGGCTCTTTAAATAACCATTATTAAAATCACCATTATTAAAATAAATACCTTTCTACACACGCATAAACACATGTATCACACAAAAGCATCACAAACCTTGAAGATCCACAGTAATGACCTGAGCATAATCTCCCTTTTCAACAACAAACGTTTTAAGAACCTTTTGAGACGAACTAGAAATCACTTCAACAGCATAATTTCCATGGTACCCTCTAAAAGGAAACGCACCGTTTTGATCGATATGTCCATTAGCATGAGAGAGCCAATCTTTTTTCACAGCCAAAAGCCTCTTACCAGCTTCATTAACATCTCCTTCTGCATTCACCAAATGAGAGTTGTCTCTGGCCATGAAAAACTCCCAAAATCCCCATAACATTATACCTTCGACCGCAGGATGACCAAAAGCTTCCCACATCATTACCTCCAAATCATCTCCCCTTACATGCTCATTTATCGACGAAACATCCATTTCCGTGAACCATATCGGTAAACCAAGGATTCCTAGTTTATCTAAAGCTGAACATACGATTGGACCTACCGGACTATCGATATGCCCCTGAACCCCGATTCCTCCTACTGGCGCACCCTTTTCTTGCAGGTCAAGAATGTGTTCGATGTACTTTTCAGGGCAAGATCTTGGGTCACACCCGTCTTCTATGTGGTAATCGTTCACAAACAATGTCGCAGATGGGTCTAGTTGGTGTGCGGTCTTGAACATGTTGACTCTAATGTCTTTCCCTAGCTTGTCTTGGTAGAAAGATCCGTGTAACATCTCGTTGTTCACGTCGTAATGTTTGAATTTCCCCTTGTATCGGTTTAGAAGACCGGTTAGGCGGTTTTGGACTGCGTTGTTTAACTCGGATTGGTTCATGTTTTGGATCCATTGCTGAACAGTGGCTTGCACTTCCCAGAAGATACAATGTCCTCTGGTTTCTATGTTGTTGCTACTGCACAAGTTGAGCATATCGTCTGCGTCTTGGTAATTAAGCTTCCCTTGTTCTGGTTCCGTCCAGTACCATTTCAACTCGTTTGCGAAAACCGCCCAATTAAAGTTTTTCAAGAAGAAATCAACAAAGTCTTCGTTATCTATATTTGATCTGCTGATGCAAGTTCCCACAGGGAAGCTGTTCCTTATCTGTCGAACTTTAACTGTAGCTCCAGAAAGTTTGCTAGCATCAGCACCCGAGAATTTGAGGATAACATCACGCTTACGGATCTGTAAATCGAGATAATTACTATACACGTAACATTTTGACATAAACGATTGAAAACAGAGTCATTATGTTACCTTGTCACATTGTCTTCTCAAATGTTTGACTCTCGCAAGCCGATCCACCGGGAAAATCTGCAAGCCAGCGACCATTAGATCAACACCAGAAGAAGGTCCTTGAACATAAACCAAAGCCTTAGAAGGCTGCTTCTCAATTCGGAAAGAACCACCAATTTCATGCCATTTATCATCGTTGATCTCGACTTGTCCTCCATTTACCCATTGGCTATCGATACCAAGTGCGACATTAACATTTTGTGGACTAGTAACGCCCGAACCAACTTTGACCCAAACTGATACTTGGTATGTCAAGAACAGCTTGAGTTTGTCTGTGATCATTTGAGCTGGACCCATCCATGTCTGTGTTCGGTTAGTCACTAGCATATAGTGGCCACTTAGTGGCTCGTGTGGTCCAAGCGAGTCCCTTGCCATAGGAGGAAGTATTCGAGGGGACCCTTCTGCAACGCTTAGCGTGCAGTTCCCTAATGAGAACCAGCCATTGGTAGTACCATCGCCTAAATGGCTATTTGTGAGTATGTTTACACCAAATGCAGGATTCTACAAGAAGAAAAAAAACAACAAAGCGGAGTATAACTAATCTTCAATACAAATTCTTTTGCTAAACTGTTTTATTATAAGAGGTTCACATGTAAACGTAAAAGCAGAGTTTGATAGTTGAAACATTGACAGCCTAAGTAGATTTTTTACTGAGACGAAATTGTGAATTGGATCTTTGGACTAACCTCAATAGATGGGACCGGTAAAGGAGGTATTTTCTCGGCGTGTTTTAAAGTTAAGCTGTTCAAGAGAATATCGGTTCCAGGAGGTGGACCTTCAATGTAAATGACTACTCGTGATGCAGAACCATTGAGGAAGAACTTCCCTTTACATTGTACCCACTCCTTGTCTGTTGCCTGCACACTTTTGAAGAACAAAACATAAAAATCAACTTACAGCATTTTACAATGAATCTTGATCTGATAAATGCGAATGAGATATTAAACAAAAGGAAACAACAACTAACTTGGCAATGCCAATGTATTGATCACGTTGATTTGGATTCTGGACCCATAGAGTAGCTTGTACAGTAGCATTTGTCACATTGTTTCCGTATATACGAACAAGCGCGGTTGCTTCATACACAAGTTTTCTCTGAACTTTCCCAGTAATCTCTTGTTGTATACCGTTCCAGTTCTGTGTTCGTTCTGTAGCTGAAGCGAAAGCTTTCCCTGATTGTGGTACTATACTTCCATCAGCCATTGAGTCATGCAACACAAGTTTGCAGCTTCTCCCAGACCAGTTGTTTAGTCCATCTTCAAAGTTTGGGTTCACTACAATATTCTCATCTTCCATTGTAACATGCTCTTCTTGTTCCAGCTTTAAAGAAAACAAAACAGGTCAGCTCAAACACAAACAAACAATCAAAATTGATATGATCAATAACATACCTCAGGCTTAATGGTAACATACTGTATGAGGAGATCAATCCCCGGTGATGGGCCTTCTAAATAGAAAACAACTTTTTCTGGTACATTCGGTAAGGAAAACATGCCTTCTAGTCTCACCCACTTCTCCTTGAAGACACAAGTTCTGCAAATTCAAAAAATCAAAAAAAAAAATGTTGTTCTTTTGTGAAAATCACATGAAACTGTAAGTGTAAAAAGGCCTTACTTTGCGATGAACTGATATTTTGTCGGAGATTGTTGGTTTTCAAGCTTCAAAGTGGCCATAACCTCTACCAATCCTTGAACAGGTCCAGATACAGCAACAGTTGCAGAAACTTTGTAAAGACAACAAGGTTTCACTCTGCTTGTGATGTCTTGCTCCAAGCCTTGCCAAGTTTCTTTCCGGTTCGTGACAACTACGTAGCTACCGCACTTTGACGGGTCTAATACACCGTGAGAGACACCAGAACCTTCGGTGACGACAAAGGCCTCGCAGCAATTCGGATGCCACGGATGCATCCCCGATGAGAAGTCATGATTCACAATCACATTGGTGAGATTAGAACCGAGATTTGATGCCACATTGTTGTTGTTCTGCTTTGTAAGCTGGTAGAGAAATGATTAAACAGAGAAAGATCAGATTAAGGTTTCAAAAAGTTTAGCTTAGAGTTGAATAAAGTATGTGAAAAGAAAAGATGAACAAGACTTGGCTACAAAGCAAGGAACAGAACAGCAAAAACAACCAAACCATCGAAATCCTAACCTCCTCATTGTAGTTTCTTGAAATCTCCATGTTTTCTTTTAGTTTCTTGCAGAACAGAATCAGACCGAGATCATATCAAGACAAATTAGTAAATGGGTCACAGAAAAAAATAAAGAAAACACACAAAGATTAAACCTTTTTGTGTAAAGAAGAAGACTAACCTTTTCTTGATTTCGATTTCTGCTCTTGTGGATTCGATTTGAGAAACAGCAAACCGTGAATCTCTTCATTATATAGACACAGAGATCAAATTGCTCTGCGTTTTCTTGGTAGGTCTTTCAAATTGATCGCAGGATTCAAGTGAACTCCAAGAAAAAACGACCTGCGGGACCAGTTAACCAACCAAACTCTGTTCCGAAATTTTAATTCTTCTTTTTAACCTCTTAAACCTGAAGAACAGATAAAGTTCAGTTTTCTGGGTTTTAATTTTATGTAGTCCCTTGGAGGTTGTGATCGAAAAAGACAATAAAACTATTTAAATACGGTTAACATTAACTTTATCTTTAAATTTAATTTTAAATTAGGCTTGTGTTGGGGACTCCGTTGATGAATGTTTTCTCAAAAATCTTGTGGTGTCTGTAAAATGTCTATTCTAATTAGCAAGAAGAACCCATTAACTAACTAATTTCTTTTCAAAATACATATATTAACCATTAAAATTGTCACAAATATACTCAAGTGCGCGATATTTCATTCTTACATAGCCGTACACGCGTTGGAAAATTAAGAAAGCAAATAAATAGCTGATCACTGCTGTCATATCCATGTGCAGTAATCTTCTTTTCTTTTTCTTGGAAAGTCATTATTAAGCCTTGATAGATAACTAATTGCAAAAGGTAAATATTGGTGGCTAAGTTTTAACAAACTAATAAAGCTAAACATACAGTTGCTTTGTTAAGTATTAATAAACCCAACATGTAGTTGAATTGATGTACTAGCGAATTCCTTAAAAGAGAAAACCTCAAATCAGAATACAAACTAATTTTACATGCTCTAACTCCCGGACAAAATGGTTATGAGTCAATTCCTGAAACTCTGTGGTAATGGAAAAAATGATCAACAAAATTCAACAAAAAAGAAGAAGCACTAAGCTGGTTAATTAGCCCTAATAACAGTTTTTTCAGGTAAAAAAAATGCTTTGCCTAACAGTAAATTTTTTCAAATAAATAAATTACGGGTCCAAATATATTTTGTTGGCCTATCAACCCTAAAGTATTAGGGCGCCCTATCAACTTGAAGTAAAATCTGCCATACAATTTGCGATAAACAAAAAGGGACAAAGAAGGTAAGAGGTTATCATCGCGAGGAAAACAAAACTTTAAAGATTGGTTAAGAGATCCCAACTTGCTAATTTCTTCTAATTGTTTAAATTTGGATAGCTTGGATTGGAAGCAAACTATTCCTTTGTACTCTAATCCTACGAGGAGAGTTTGTTGAAAATTGGTCTTATTCAAATGGCTATTCTATTAAATTCGTCCTCGCCTTGTTGTCGCCTTCAGCCATTTAAACCTAAGCTTATAAAAGAGAACATAAATAAAGATGATTAACTACACAAAATGAACCATTGTGACTATAAACAAGCATGAAGAGGAGATAAAAACGTCTCTTTAATTTTTAAATTATCTTCTTCCGAGTTGACTGCTCTTGACTTTAATTTTCCATTTTTTTCTAATGAAGAAACCAACAAAAAATTATACTATCTGTTACTTTTTTTTTAAAGGAAATTTTCGCCACATTACCTTTATCTATTTGGACTATGCACAAAATATTTCTTATATAAGTTGGAAACCAAACCATTCGTACATTCTTTGAGTTCTCTAACACTCTTCTTTTCTCCGTCGTAACGTTTGGTTTCTTGAATTTGACAGTAACGAGAATCAAAGGATGGACATTATCAGCGATTTGCCAGATGATTTGCTCTTAAAGATATTATCATCACTTTTTTAAAAAGAAGTGGTAGCCACAAGTGCGTTGTCCCGACGGTGGCGGTCTCTATGGAAGTTGGTGACGACACTGAAGATTAGTAATAGTGAAGAATCCTGGAGATGTGTCGATTGGATTTCCAGCTCTTAATTTGGTGTTTAGCAATCCTCAAGTTCTAAAGGGCTTGGATTTTAAGCTTATCAACGATTTTCCTAGCAGGATCCAGCCTTGGGTTGAATCTGCAGTTTATCACGGTTTGAGAGAGCTGAGGATCGAGTTCGTTTACAGAATCGAGCCCAGGGACGGATCTAAAAAAAAAATTTAGTAAACATAATTTTATAAATAAGAAAAAAATTAGTTGGGGGTAACTTTTTCGTTTTTACCAATAAATTTTAAAAAAAAATTTGATAAAAATTATATAAATTATTTAAGAAAAAATAAAAACAATTGGGGGCACATGATCCCATCGGGTTGTTCACTACCTCCGCCCCTGGTTCCGCCTTGTGTTTGTTTGTCGTCCGTCAAAACTCTTAGCCTCATATCAGTGAAGTTCTCATGCCACAAATCTGTTCAAAAGCTTCTAAGCATCTGTCCTGTTCTTGAAGATTTGGTTGTAAGACGATCTGCATATACTGATATACCAATGTGGAGATTTACACTATCAATGTGCCTACTTTGACGAATTTATCCATCGATTATTTACGGGCAGCATTCTGAATTTATATTAATCAACAATTCCACTCGGATTTTAGAATGAGTACATATAGATGCTAATGATTTAGCTTCCTAGTCTACTTCGAATTCTTATAATATTTATTTTCATAACTCGGTTGCTTCCTCTTTCGATTAACATTTTTTTGTAAAAAAAAAAAATATTACTTTATTTCCCATTTGCCTCTTTCGATTAAGAATTTTTTTTGTTTGTGCTTAGTATAAATATTGAACTAGAATCACCAAAAAGAGACTAGAACATAAGAAAAAAAAAATATCATTTTGTCAGCAAATGCAAATCCTTGTCAGTCACTAAGATAACAAACTGGTTTACTGCTTTAAATATTGATTTAAAAAACACAGATTTTGTTGTCAAGCTCTTAAATAAGGATAATACATAAAACACATTATAGCCTGAATGGATGAAACGAGAAAAGTTGGGCCTGAATGGATGCTAGAGATACTGAGCTATGGATGCAGAACAAGAAAGATGGAGCAAGACTTACTCCATTTATTTAACGCATAGAGTTGTTTCATCGGAAATGTTGAACAGGTGGTTCACGCCGGTGGCCGTTTCCAAGAAAGGTATCTTGTCTTCTGTGACAATTATAACAGACTGTTCAAATCTTATACAGGCCTAGATGAGGTTCGTTGACTCTCCTCAGACATTTGTGTTATCTCTCCTTACTTGGAAAGTAAGCCATCCCATCCTGATCCATGTAAAATTGGATTTTCGAATGAGGACATGCAGATACACAGAATGAAATTAGGATCGTAGATGTTCTGTTTACATATAGCTGATTCATCTTATCTTTGTGTCAAAACTTTATAACCAATAAGCCCCTTAAAACTGGATTTGAATTGTGTTATGCTCTTATGGTTATATATGAAACAGCTGTGAAAGGCTCATATGTATTAGATTGAAAGGTGTGGATACAGAGTGATTCATGTAGCTTTTCAGAAATAAAGTATTATCATTGGATTTAGACACCAAATAGTTACGAAGAAAGACCAAACAACTACATTTTTTTTTGTACTCTCCTGAGGACTCTCTCATGCATGGATCTCAAACTCACTCATGTGCTGTCCGGAATGGCTTGTATGTCTTGACACTACTTATCAGTCCTGCGATGGATCCAGCTCCAGCTAAGAGCGATACAACCAAGCAAACCCAGCACAACATTTTCAGCCCAATCCATCTAGGAGAGTACTTCTTAACCTTAGTCTGTGCAATGTGCATCTCCACCGGGAAATAAACCGTTAAAGGCCAGAATGAAGCTGCTCCTATCAGTCCCAATATTGCGTTGAAGAAAGGGAAGATCATAGCTACCAGAGTGGTTATCACCACATAAGCTGTCCTCCACACTAATCTGAAGAGGCTGATGTTGAATTTTCCAAGGAAAGGTACGTTTACCGAGTATTCAGAAGTGATGAACTTGTTGTCAGGCCAGTTTCTATTGCATTTCTTCTCAACAAACTGGAAGATCGGCTGGGCAAACACCTGAAATTGTATGGTTCCTTTCTATTAGTTAACAAAGAAAAGGTGTGAAACACTAGTCTTTCTTGTTTTGGTTACTTTTTGGGCTTTTACCTGATATGCACCAATAAGGTGGACAGCGATGCAAGCGTTTGCAAAGTCAATGAGCCAAAAGGGCTCGTAAAACCCAAAATCTGTGAGGAAATCTCCTGGAGCTTGGTTTCCAAATGCAGCATAGCCGAGACAACCACATAAGATGTAGAAAAATGTGGTGGTTGATACTCCCACAAGGCTTGCTCTTTTCATAGCTTTGTTCTCTGCTGGGCTAGATTTCAATGTGTCCTGCAAAAAGTATCAAGGTTTCACTGGTTAGTGTAAGTAAATCAATAATTCATACACTTTAATCCACTTTTGTCTCATTTGTCTCATGGGTTAAACTTAATCTTATTGAATCGTCACAATCCAGTAGACATATACTCTTTGGTACCAAATACCGTACAGTCATTAAAATGGTGAAAACTACGATCATTAAAAGACAAAATTTGTGAGTTGTAATGTCAACTCAATAAGCTAACGCTGTTGATAATAATTATAGTAATTGTTTACTGTGGAGAAGAGATTGACAATATCTTTGAATGTGACTTTTTGTCCTTAATAAGCACATGTTATGCCTTTTAGCTAAAAGACAGATTCTCTTCTTTTTGACTCTTTTGAGTAAAGCAAACAAAAAAAGTGGTCCACAGCGAATCGATTGTCATTGTCAATAATCTCTAACCACAATTCTAACAAGAGGTTCATATACAAAGCTAACAAGACTTAGCAAGAAATTGATTGATAACTTGCCTGAATCTCGATGAGAACCGTGGCGTAAGCATATGCAAATGCTATGTCCCCAACCGCTTGAAACGATCTCCATATCTTCTGAGTTGCGGTTACATCAACTCCTACCACCGTGCCCGTCAGATTCGTCTTACCGACTTTCCCACCTTATCATATCGTAACATATGAACCGTTAAATTACTGATTGTTTATGCCTAATGACTCCTAATCGAATTAAAAATATTTAATCTACTTATAGTGGACCAATTGGTATAATCTTGCTACAACTATTGATATATGTACTTTGAAAATACAGTTTGATGACCAAATGGTTAGTAATTGCGACTTTTTTGCTATTAATCCAATCTTTAAAGAATGTTATGTACCTGCGACGGTCGCGATGGCAAGGCCAATCCCAATAGTTGCGTAAGTGAAGGACATA